CTCCCCCCTCCCCCAAATGAAAAAACGGGGTGAAGACTTGCTTCCGAACCCCCACAAGAAAAAAGAGACAACACCGAACACATAAAATGCAGCAGATCGATGGGCATAGGGCATCTCGATGATATATGTATAAACTATTTCAAAAATATCCATAGATGAGCTTAACTTTTGATGGAGAATATCGCTAATGGAACAACCAGCCTGCCTAATACTCGCACTATGGTATCAATGGTATCAAGAACAAAGGCATGAATACACCCCGAAATTAGCCATGAACGACAACATGGCCTGTGACCAAGAACAAAAACAAACATATCGTTGTTCTCTCCCCCCAACACGTACAGATGTCTTGGACACTAATTTCTACCTACCCCCCGGCTTATTTCCTCCGAAAGTACACAATGATAATTACGACGAACCACCTACCCACCTCAACCACCAGCGAAACCTCTACACTCGCTTACCACGTGGGAAGAAAGTCCGTCTCACGCATCTCTCCTTCTCCCGTTTGCTGTATGTCTACGCATGGAAATTTCAAATGACACAACTCACAACTATTGTTCCACCACGGGACAACTACTACACCACATTTGCTATTGTTGGTATGGGACATACAGAAAGGTGCCGGTATGTGCCCACCACGCATACATACGTACAATAATTGCAAGCGACGAGGAGATGTTTACCATGCAATCACACTTGGCCTCATGCATGTGTTAACAAGTCCCATGACAAGTAACCGAAAACAGGGAGCAACAGGAATGAAGACGCCGTTGTTGGCATGCGAAAGCAGCGACAGAAAAAGACGATGTACATCCGGCCAACCTCCAACACTAGTTTACACGCCCGCAACTTGACTCTTACGCGAGAACAAATTCCAAACCACCCTTGCCGACAAGGAAAGTCCCTCGCGCAGTCAAGTCACGGCAACTACTGCTGCCGATGACACGGCCGTCCTCCGCTTTCATTCCAGAACAAGAACGCAACCTACAGTCTGCTGCATCTACACACCGATAAACTTCACCAAAACGACCGACCGTTGGTTTCACATAATTCCAGGGAAAAAAAACAACAATTGATAATGTTTACTCCCAAAGTAACGAGCGGCAGGGCCAAAACAGGGGGACAAAAAATGCTTGCACCTCCCCTGACGCTGCAGCCACGACCCCATCGACGAGCCAAAATCCACACAACACTACTCACACACCACGCCCTGCCTATCCGCGAAACTTCCGGTTGCCGCCTGCACTGGCGAACACGGCCTAAAAATGCCAAACGCCAGGGAAAAACAACGTCCAACCTCCGTGTGCTGCCCCCGGCAAGCAAAATAAAAAAAAAGCATCTCACAGTGCGGATGGGAACCACGGGCGAAAAAAAAATAAAAACAACGAGAGAAAACCCCGCGCGGGAAGATAGCTCAAGTTGTTGTGCGATAATCGACAAAAAGAGCACGTGACAATGAAGGAGGAGACCGGAGAGAGTGCGGTCTCCTGCTTGTCCCAACTCTTTCTGGTGTTGACCAACGAAAAGAATCTTGTTCTTCCCACAGCGGAGATAGGTGAAGACTGAACTTAATTACTGCAATAAAAGAACGCCCACACACGGATACTACTATGCGAGCTGACTACGATACGGGGGTCGGCGAGAGACAAAACCGGTGTAAGAAAAGCTGACTCACAAGCCAAAGATGGTCTGTACAACGGGAACCAATAAATGCAGTGCACGGGGCATGTGAAGGCGGCGCATCTATGTAGACAAGAACCTATCGATGCCTCTTCCAGCCTGCCACCGAAAGACACATCAACTAGAACCCAGCGACTTGGGTGTACAACAACTTTGCGGTTGACGTGGGCGTGGTCAACGCCCCAATCTGTCGAAGTCGACAAAACCCCCATATTGAAAAAGCAGTGCACCCCCTGCAAAAAACAGTAAATTACCGACAAGCAGCAGCACACCATCTAAACGGCATACGACAAAGAAAGGAAGACTCACGTGAGCACCGGACCCATGTAAATAAGCCAGGAGCAGGATTGTACAAGCCGGAAAAAACGACATCAACGCCTTTAGGCAAGGAAAACACACCCCCAAGACACCGCGGTGACGACGAACAGGCCGCTGCAAAGCGCAACAGGAGATAAACTACTGCCGACGGTTGACGGACGCTCGTGCCCTCACTCGCAAACAACACAATTAACATCACACGGGGCATGCCACAGCGTACGAACAAGAGGGTCTCCCCGTGTACCCCCCCCCGCCCCCCAAGAATACAGTGCAGCCCCGACAACAAGCATGTGCATATTTTGTACTAGTCTTCCCAGGTTTAGTTCAGCTTCGGCACACGAACCGCTGGCACATTCCAGTGGGGAGTGAGCAGCATTGGAGGCAACCGGTGCGGCCGGAACTGATAGAACCACTTCCAACACCGAAAAATAAAAAGCCGCACGAGACCGCACACGACGGATACCCACGGAAGGCCCACTTATCGTGACGTCCTGTGGTTCTAAGGACAATTAACACGCATGTGAATACGCCCCCCCCCCCCCCCCCCCCCCCCTTA